ATCAAACATAGTTATGCTAAAGCAAGACCATATACTTTTGTGAGTTAAAACACATACAGAATCACATACTGCAGGAACTTAGAAATAATACATATTACATTCTTATTAAAAAATAGTAAAATTAAATCCAGAGTATATTCTATAAATATAAGAAAGTTTTATGCTGGTGTTTGTTATAGCACATGTTAATTTCTTATATATAAGAGAAAGGAAGTAACATTGTTTAATAATAGATGTTGAGATTGACTCCAAACAAAACAAAACAAAACCCCACAAAACTTTTTTATAGGAGGTAGACTCAATTTGTGCTTGCAATTGGGTAGGCAATATTTTTACAGTTACCTGAAAATTTTAAGCTTTTATGTAAGCACATATTAATAGGCAGATTGGAAATCATTTAGTTTTCATTTATAAACACAATATGTGCTTATCAATAAGTTCAGGCAAGCTGGTTAGTCTCTTTCTGCCTCATGTTTCCCTCATTAGTAAACTGCATATAATTACTAGCTGCCTCTGCTTTTCCAGAAAGGGAGGCGAAGACCCTTGTCTTAAAGCTGTGACCTATAACAAGGAAAGTGCTTTGACCTGGAATGTAGGTTGACTAGTTGGCTTTGAAGAAGGCTGATGGATATGACTGGGAGTTACACTTAGAGATGTGTGTGTACACTTAGAGGTCAGCTCCACAGCAGCATGGCCAGTATTATGTTAGGAAACAAAGGGAGAATGCCTGGCACACAGTAGGTGCTTTGCCATGTTAGTTCCCATACTTTCTATGGATAGACAAGAGCAATACCCTTTTCTAAAGCTACATAGAATGCAAAACTTCTCCAGAATGGATAACTTTCTGCCTGACAAATCCTCGACTACTGGCATAGATCTTTCCATTACCATATAAGCAATCATTAACTATAGATCATGACATAAAAATAGTTCTATCTATAATAATAAAAGCATAATATGCTAATTAGACCAGACAGCAGAATGACCTTCTGGACACCATTCCGGACATCCTTCTGGATGAAGACGGGGTGGCAGGGGCTGAGGCAGAGGCAGTTAGGGGCGATTAGGCAGGCAGGCGAGTGGTTAGGGGTGATCAGGCAGGCAAGCAGAGGTGGTTAGGGGTGATCAGGCAGGCAGGTGAGTGGTTAGGGGGGATCAGGCAGGCAGGAGAGCAGTTAGGAGCCAGCAGACCCAGATTGCGAGAGGGATGTCCGACTGCTGGTTTAGGCCCACGGGATTGAGCTTAAACCAGCAGTTGGACATCCCCCGAGGGGTCCCAGATTGTGAGAGGGTGCAGGCCTGGCTGAGGGACCCACCCCCCCTCCCCTGTACATGAATTTCATGCACCGGGCCTCTAGTACAGCCGTGGGCAAACTACGGCCCGCGGGCCGAATCCGGCCCGTTTGAAATGAATAAAACTAAAAAAAAAAAAATATCGTACCCTTTTATGTAATGATGTTTACTTTGAATTTATATTAGTTCACACAAACACTCCATCCATGCTTTTGTTCCGGCCCTCCGGTCCAGTTTAAGAACCCATTGTGGCCCTCGAGTCAAAAAGTTTGCCCACCCCTGCTCTAGTATGTGCATAAGAAAATTTAAAAATATAGCTTGCACTGCTTTCTGATTTTGTATCTTTCAGTCTTTCTACAGAGAAGATATATGCAAACTACTGATTAGATTCTAGACTCATATTCTTCCCATGTCTTGGTTGAAATAAAGCATTTGTACAAATAGCCAAAAGGCAGGCAACACAATGGGAAAGAAAAAAAAAAGCCTTAGAAATGAACACCAAACCAAATGATCAATTCATAATTATTTATGAGGTGCTTATAATGACAACGGATACCTAGTAATACTAACTAAAAACATGGGTGGGACTTAAGAATTTGTGTAAAATATTTATGACAGTCATTTATATTTCCAGTTTTCAATCACTGTTCTATGACTACATCCTTAGAATTCCCTAAGTAGAACCATAATCTCTACATCAGAATGGGCCTTAATAGAAGTCAGTACCTACATTTTATTTCTCTGAAAATTAACTGTCCTCACATTTAATCCTATTAAGAGGGAAAACAAGGTACACGTTAAGTGTGCATCATGCTACGAACACTACCTGAGTGCCTGCTGGCGGGACAGGTACTGTGCTGAGCTACCAGAATCACGAAGAGATGAAGTCCCACGCCACGGGGGCTGAAAGAGCTAGCGAGAGAGTGCCATGGAAGGAGAGGTTGGCAGGGACCCTCTCACAAAGAGACAACTTAGCTGTATCTTCACGCCATCCTTGTGAAATACTTTGCCAGGCAGAAGAGAGGGTAGAGGTGCAGTAGAAAAGGGGAGGAAAAATATATGCATATAATGGGACTAAAATAAATGTAGTCATGCTAGTTATTACTTTCCTAACTTGAGAAAAATTTTAAAATTTTTACATGTTTCTGACAAGACTATTTTTATTTGAAAAGTTGGTGGGCATGGGCTTTTATCTCTCCCTACCCCCAAGGGACTAATATTTATTGAATGTCCATATGTCAACAGGTATATAATTATATATATAGATCAAATGCAAGACAACTTTGCAATCTAGGTCATGTTATCTATATTTAATAGGCAAGGAAACAAACTCACTGTGGGTAAGACTTTCTCCAAGATCTGTCTGACTCTAAAGCGCATGTTCTTTCCCCATGCTGCCTCCAAAGATTTTCCATCGGAAACTTGAACTAGAGCCACAGTAGGAAGAGCATGAATAATAGAGAACCTCAGGGGGAACTTACTATGTTCCAGATACAATTTGAAGCATTGTACATGTATTAACTTACTTAGTCCTCACAACCTCAAAGGGGTGTAGGTACAGTAATGACTGTCCTTTAACAGAGAATGAAACTGAGATACAAAGAATTCAGATAACTTGCCCAAGGTCACAGAGCGGATAACTGGCAGAGCCAGGATCCAATACAGGCAGTCTGGCTCCAGCGTCCCTGCACTTAAGCGTTCCACATTCCACGTTTTCACTCAGACCAATCCTGACTCTAGACCACCAGCAAGGACCCTACTGGGCAAGATATCCCAGGCAGAAGGCACAAAGAGGTGAAAAGATCTTATGTCCCCAATAATACAAAAGAGTTTAGTGTGGCTGAAGAATTGGACCTTGATTGATGAGGGGATGGGAGGACAGTAGGAGGAGGGATATGAAGCAGGAAAGATAAGTCTCTCTTTTTCCTTAATGCTATACAGTTGAAAGATTCTCAATTTGCATTTTCTGTTTTGTTTTTCATAGGAAATTTCAATGTAAGAAAAGCATTTTCAAACATAAAAACAGAAAGATGCATATATGATATTGCATGGACATGTAGACCAATCGCTCACTTGCATAGATCCCCAAATATTTTCTACTTGTCTCTATGAATTGACCACTTCATTGTACCTCATATATTTTGATGAATATGAGACTTTTAATAATTATCTGAAAAAAAGTCGATTCCACCATACTTTAGATTTTTGCATACTCAAATATTTATGTCACAATAAAATTATACAGATAAATGTACTATCTTTTAAAAACTTTATTTAGTGTGGGTTTTTTTTTTAGCTAATCAATTCCAATATCGAAAAGAAGCAAATATTATGATATAAATATATTCTCATCAACCACCAGATGGCATAAGGTGTGAGAGTTTCATTCTGACAAGGTCACCACGCACATGATAATTTGACCTATAACTTCAAAATAATGTATTTGGAAAAATGTTCTAGCACTCAAACAGCTTGCAATTATTTCAGCCATATGTAGAAGTGGATGGATAAGTTGAAAATGACATGGTCCCACTTTTTCTAAATTTGGGGGTTTTGTGGGATGCTGGCATTACATAATGAATATATGATCAAACAAATAAAACAAAGCAGTTCTCTTAAAGGAAATAAAAAAGGAAGTCACGTCAAAGCAAAATTAACTTTATGTTCTGAGTATGTTTCTTTAACTCTTAAATGAAACTTAAAACATGACTTCAAGAAAAAAAAACACACACCATGTGTGCATTTCAAATTCTGTTTAATAAAACTTCTCTACTACCTATAATTTATTCTGAAAACAGAAAGGCATCTAATGGAAGAGCTTTCCTCCACTTTGGCTTAAAGAGGAGTTGTTGCCAGAGTCAACTGGAAAAAGAATATCCTACTGAAAACCCATTCTGAAGCCTGATGCTAAAGGGCAGGAAAGTATATTTTAAGAGCCTTGATTCCTACACAAATCCAAAATACAGCACATTATGTTTACTGATCCTGTATTTCCATCTGGAAAAGAGGTCACAGGCTAACAAGTCAAAGATCTAAAAAAATGAGGTAAATGAGGTTAATGCAAAAAAAGGGGGGGGGGGATATTTAATTCCCCTAGCTTTGTGGTAGCACACTCAGTACTTTGAAATAAGCCCACCAGGATAAATGACTACTACAACCCAACCCACACCACAGAGAGGAGATGAAGTCTTCGCTCTTGCATCATGAAGCAGAAAAATTGCCTTTGGAAGTCAAGAGCCTAAGATGAGATTGAGATCCCTTCCTTAAAGCTGCCTAAGAGCCTGATTTCTGAAGATACAATCATACTTTATTTCTGTACTTTACGACATACTTTCTCATTAGATGTAATATATTTGGTTCCTGAGTGAGAAATCTGTGGGAGAGGAAAAATATTAGGAGCTCTGAGAAGGATGAAAAGCTATTTGATGATATATAAACAAGTTAAGGTTTTTTATTTTCCTATTCCTATTTCTATGTCTGGTCCTTTATCCATTTTTGGCAACCAATATGAAGCAAAAATGTTTCCCACCTGGATTCATATAAAAGGGGAAAAAATAATACTTCTTATTTTTATTATGTTTAGAAAAAAGTATAAGTTCTTTCCAAAGGGTTTTTTTCTGATGGTTCAGTTAGATAGTAGAAAGTGGAATAGTCAATATTTTTCAAGTTAATAGGATAATATATTCCAGACACTTAAGATTACTTACTTTAAATTCCATTCTTTCTGATGTTTTTGCTCCATTTTCTTCCACTTATGATACTGTCCAATGAAACCTGGATTCTCGAGCACTGAAATTAGAGTATAAAAAAGAAGCTATCTATGCATTCTTTAATGATAGTTCAAAGTTTAAAATAATCCACTTCTCATTAAGTTGATATGTGGCAATGATGTACACTATATACTGAAAATCATGTGATAATGCTCAGACACTTTCCATATTTTTTCCTTTTATTTGAACTTGGTAATATTGGCTATTGTTTGATATAAGTAGATTGTGACTTAAAAACTTTTCATTATAATGATATTTTTTTATGTATCATTTATAGTGATGAAGAAGGTGTTAAAATAACTCATATAGAAACTATAGACACCATAGTTTAACAAAATTCTAACTGAGCACTTCAAGTAGTAAAGTAAAATTCTGGCGTTCAAACTGACATTACAGATCTTGATCTTTCCCAAAGAATCTGCAACAGATGACCATCCAGCCTGTAAATGAATACTTTGCTAACCACAAAAAACTCTCCTCTTTGTAGCTGAGGAACTGCCTCTCCATTGACAGACAGACAGTCAGTCACGGTGTCCTTCCATAATCTGAGTGCTGAGTTTCCACTGGTCCAGTTCTGACCTCTGGAGCTGTCATGAGTAAGTTCATTCCTCCCCCGGGGGGAGAGAGCCCTTCTAATATTTGGAGATAGCTCTCAGGGAAGCCTCAGTTCCTCCAACTGTTTCTAAGACATGATTTTCCAGCGAGCCAACCATCCTCACCATCCTGGCAATGACATTTGCTAATGTCCTTATTAAAGTTTGCATCCAGAACCAGCCAAGGGTCTTAGTTTCATTTGAATAGCAAAGACGCAAGTGACTTACTACTTCCCTCCATCTGTGTGCTACGTCTTGGATCTGCATTAGTATTTTGTGGAAATCACATTACACCACTCACTCATGTCTTTGTGGTTAATTATAAAACCCATGCCTTCAAATTCACATGAAATTTATTGACATCTATTATGCTTAAGGCACTGGTAGATTTTACATAAAATATGATTAGATCCAGATAAAATACACATGTATACCGTATCTATTTGTCTGTCTGTCTGTCTATCATCTCTTTGTTTCTTTTAATTGTCCTAGGTTTACAGTCGTGAACTATTTAACCAACTAGATGTTTCCACTAATCTTGCCAGTATCTGGGACTTAGTTCTTACCAATGATTGATTATCCCCTTCTTGCCTGATGAAATTTGTCACTGATAAAGACATTTAAACTGAGTAATTTTTTTTATTAATATTACATGATTTTCACTAGCAATGTTCCTATCTATATTTTAATTTCTTTTCTTGTGCCCTAGCTGGTTTGGCTCAGTGGATAGAGTGTCGGCCTTCAGACTGCAGGGTCCTAGGTTCGATTCTGGTCAAGGGCACATGCCAGGATTGTGGGCTCGATCCCCAGTAGGGTGTGTGCAGGAAGCAGCTGATCAATGATTCTCATCATTCATGTTTCTCTCTCTCTCTCTCTCTCTCTCTCTCTCTCTCTCTCTCTCTCTTCCTCTCTGAAAGCAGCAATAAAAATTAAAAAATTCTTTTCTTGCTTCAATCATAAGCACATACACCAGTTACATACATATTCTTAGAGGTTTTATTAATATTGTTTCTATTGGTATTTGGATATATACTCCTCTCTTTTATTAAAGAAGGAAATCTGAGCTCCCAAGAATTCTTAGTGAGGTCTCATTGTTTCCTTCAGATGATTATCATAACTAATATTAATAGAGTTCTTACTAAATACTGGGCACTTGTAAAGTATGAATGCCATGGTTACCACTATAATACCCACTTTACAGATGAACAAACAAAAGATTGAGTAAAGTCTTCTCATTGTGACTATATATTACTTAGACAAAATTTAAAATTTGAATCAAGGATAATTTATATATTTCCTTAATTTTTTGAAATTGCTTTTCCTACATTTTCTATTTGAATATGTACAGCAGTCTCTTTCTTATATATTATGGTGTGGTCATCTTTCCTGACTGTGCCCTAGCTGGTTTGGCTCAGTGGATAGAGTGTCGGCCTTCAGACTGCAGGGTCCTAGGTTCGATTCTGGTCAGGGGCACATGCCAAACCAGACATTAATTTGACATCATTGACTTATTTTATTCATTGTTTTCTCTGCTATCTGAGATATTTTTTTAAAAAAAGTCACAGTATTTGTACAAACGTTTAATACGCCTATTTTATCCCTATAATTTTTTCACTTATCTGTCTCTGACCACCTGCCTGTAAACTCCTCAAAAAGCTTACCATAATACTTATCTTCTTGTCTCCAACACACAGTCCATTGCCTAGAGATAGAAGATGTTCAATAAATCATGTTGATTGAAGGAAAATAATGGAGGAATGAGGACAGGAGAAAGAGAGAGAGCACAGGAGAGAGAGCAAGAAGAAAGGACCAGTAAAATTCTCTCAGAAGTCCTTGAAGTTGAAATTCCCCCATTATTACCATAACTTGGCCCTTGTGGTTTGTGATAGAAAATCAACTTCTACCGCCTCCATAATATTTCTTCCTTCCCTCCCAAGGATTACCAGGTATTGTTCCTACTCTGTTTTTGACATGACACACCTCTTTTCCAACATCTGTATAGGTTGATCTTTAAAAAAATTTTTTCTACTACTGGGACTGCCAATGTCCAAAGAAATATAATAGCACCAACTTGCCTTAGCAGGTTTTATTTTCACACATATTATCTCATAGCAACTTGAAATAAAAGTGGGACGTTTTTGTCAATGAATAGAAATGGAAAAAAATGAGTACAAAGCATTAAATGACTGACCTAAATTTACGTTACTGTATGTGGCAAACTTTACAGGGCTAAGGAGTCTCGAACTTCTGGCGTCATGCTCTTCCTGCTAGAGCCTTGCCAACCTTGGTTGCACATTGTAATTACCTGGAGAACTTTAAAAACTACTGCTGCCTGGTCTTGCTCCGAGAGCTCTTGATGTAATTGGTCTGGGGGTGTGCCCTTTACATGGGAATTTTTACAAGCTCCTCTGGGGTTCTAATGAGCAGTCAAGGCTTAGAACCAGGCATGAGGACTAGATGATACTGTCTCTCAAGACTAAATGCAGTTCAGAGACACTTGCCCTTGTTTCTGGCTCAAAGACTCAAAGAATGAAAGTCTCCTAGGGTGAAAGCAAGCATCCCCAGGATGCTTCAGGCTGTTTGGTCTGTCTTGATGACAGCAAACATCAGGAAGCCCCCGCTCAATATTACAGGGTACACTGGTCTGAAGGAATTCTTTTCCTCGAACATAAACATTTCCTTATGGGGATCATATTCTGTCGTTAAGGTGCTGTTGCCCACAACCAGATGTAGTGGTTTGTTCTCTGCCAAGCTTTTAATTTGCCATTCTATAGTGATGGACAGAGAACGGTGGATCATTCATACATTTTCCCATATGATTGCCTATGATTATGAGCTAATAATTACAATTATTAAAACACATACTGCATATTCTTCAGAGTTTGAATTTAAACCTCAGGCCATATGGAAAGGAACCCCTTAAGCCTATATAGTATTATTAACTAATGCAACCCCAATAAATTCAACTAACAAATAAATCTCTGGCTATAAAGAAATAAACACTTTATATCATATTATAAAGGCAGTAGAGTATGACAAGAAGCAATAACTGTGGAGTCAGAGGATCTGGTTCAAGTCCTTGGGCCACACTCTATTTGTACTAATTAATAATAACCACACTTATTGAACACGCATGTGCTAGGTGCAGCTATAAGTGCTTCAACCCATGAGGTGTGTGCTGTCGTCATTCTTATCTTACAGACAAAGGAACTGGGACACAGAGAGGTTAAGAAATGTACCCAATGCCACACAGCTAGTAAATGGCAGAGCAAACTGGCTCCAGAACTTATACTCTTTACCAATACATGCTATTCCCTATACATGTGTGACCTTAGTAAGTTACTTAGCTTGCCTTGGTCTTGGTTTTCTCACTTGTAAAACAGAGTTATAATAATAATGCCTAGCTCATTGGGTTGACATACCACTGCGCATGACACGTGTTAGATGTTTAATAAATATTTTTGATAAACAAATAAAAGAATAATACTGGGGTGATTAAAAAACATAATCCAGAGTACACTCTGGAAACCATGCTAGACAAGAATAACATACTATCATTATGGCACACATGACTACTGATAGGTTTGTGGCACAAAGAAGTGGAGAAGAGTTATTACCCCAAATCAAATATAACCATGCATCACTATTTGTAAAATAAAAAGCTTTTAAAAATATGCACAAGAGCTTAATAATATCTCCAGTGATAAGAATGTAACTGCAGAAAATGAAGTTACTGGAAGTTTCCCTTTTATTTCTGAGTAGTTGAAGATGCATTCTATAATCTAAAAGCTTCGTCTTTATTATTGCCAGGAAATTAGGCTGATAAAAAAAGCAGTATTGGATCTCATCCAGCTGAATTATCCAAAGACAAAATGGCCAGCAGCAGATGTAATATTTACATTTATATTTAAAAATTAAGTGCTGGTTATTATTAAAAGAAAGCTCTTGAAACATTCTTATAACAAATCCCTGGAGGAAGAAGAGTCAGGGTGATGAAGAAATATTGCAGCAAGGGCTGGAATCAAAGTCTCAGAAATTCTTCTGGGCTAGAGGTAACCATTACCAGCTATTGCCTTCGCAAAGAGGGTGAATGACATGCTAGGTTAGTGACCCAGAAAGAAGAACCACGTTAAAAATGTTGTATCGGACTCTTTTGAAGAGGAACTGCAGTCAGTGGCATTTCATTATCCTTCCATTTTAAATTGTTCTTTAGTGCAGCACAATAATTTCCAAATTTTGTTAAGTGTTGGCACGTGCTTCATTTTTTCCCTCCTAGCAGTTTGGAGTCTCCAAATGCCTCCCTATCTTTACATGTTATCCCAAAAAAGCCATTCTCTACCAATCGGTTTGGTTTTTGGTTGAAGGAGTTGGACGCTGAGTCATTCCCTGAAAGTGCCAATTGCCTCTTGACAGGGTTTGATAAGGGTTTCTGCTTCCTGGAATGCACCTGAGCTCCTCAGTGCCTCACACATAGTAGGCACTCAAGATATGTTTGCTGAATTGACTGAACAGCAACCAACCACTAACTTCTGAAATGAAGTAAACATTCACATGCCCTGGTATCAAAAATAATAAAATTCTTTATATGGATAGAGTTACTAAAGATAGTCTCTCTCTCTCTCTCTCTCTCTCTCTCAAATCAATAAAAACAATTTTTTTTTATTGAGTTGAGAGAGAGAGAGAGAGAGAGAGAGAGAGAGAGGAAGGGAGAGGGGGGGGGGAGAGAGGAACATTGATGTGAGAGAAACTGCTTATGGTCAACCTGGGCAGTGGTGCCCTGACTGGGAATTGAACCAGTGACCTTTTGGTGTACGGGACAATGCTCAACCAACTGAGCCAGCTGTCCAGAGTAAGACTGTGTCTCTTCAAGCACCTTAAGTTATGTTTCTTAACCATTAATCCATGAGTGAGTGAGGAAGGTAATGTTTATTCATAGAAATAATTAATAACCAACATTCTGAAAGATCCAACTTACTTTTTTATATATGTAAGCTGAGTGCTACTTTTTGGCTATAATTTGTGCCTTAAAACTGGAAATTTTTGTCTGGGCGATGTTTTTTTCTATTGAAACCAATTATGAGACCATCACAATGATGAGGTGAAATTTGATGAGACCACAAATTAAGGCACTGGTTGTGGATGGGGCGGTGTGAAGTGGAGGGAAAAGATTGATGATGTTGTAGGAGATAAAAGCAACAAGACTTAATGAGGGAGATAAAGAGGTCTAGGAAACTTCTGTAATTCTGGTTCTGGCAAGTAAATGTAAGAATGGTGATCTACACTAATCTAGAGAGGTATGAAGGATAAGGTTTTAGGTAATGAATTCACTTCAGGACATCCTAAGTGTGAGATGCCTGAACACCTGTAGGTGAGATGTCCATGCTCAGTTGTAAACATGCTTGCAGAATCCCAGAGAGGACCTGGCTAGTGATGAGGCTTTAGGGATTACTGGAAGGCAGGCTAATGAAGACCAGAGTGGTGGATGAGGTCTCTTAGAGAAAGTGGATAGAGCGGGCTGAATAACAAAGTTTTTTCTAAGGAAAGAGGCAGAGGATCGCTAAGAGAAGAGGAAAACATGGATGTCATCTCTCTCTCTCTCTCTCTCTCTCTCACACACACA